ACGACAGCAGGCTTCAGTTAGCGCATCACGCCTGCTCCGAGGACCACCCCAGGGAGCAGGTCTGGCATTGAACGTCTCGTGGGGGTTCAGCTGTCGGGTGGCAAGATCCTGGATCCCACTTTCCAGATGGGAAAACCGAGGCTAGAGGGTTGACAGCTGTGCGGGGACCAGGAGAGTGGTCTCTAGAAGCTTATGCTGCACCAAAGGCCTCGCCAGGGGTGGCAGGGGCCTGCTCGCCACACACCGGACAGTCCTTGGGAAAGCTGGACCCCGTGCCCAGTGGCGGTAAAGGAAAGAGCGCGGCCTCCTGTCACTCTTCCTTATGATTCTCAGGTGCCCGCAGGCCCCGGTCCGGTGTTTGTTTTGGCGCCCTTTGCTTGGCAAAGCCTGGCTGCCCCCTGCAGCCACATCCCAAAAGTTGCCAACCCACCAGGGTGGGAGGAGCCCGGGCAGCCTCCGGCTTCTGCGCTCCACTGTGGCCGTTGTTCCCACCGCGGGCAAGGCTTGGAGCAGGTCTCCGGGGCCTGGGGGAGGTTGGCTCTGTTTTTTTCTGGTTCTTGCGGATCACCGCTCACTTCCTGGTTCCTGTATGGTTGGTTGGAGGCATAATCTGCCTCCTTTCACGGGTTTATTTATGGGCTTCTTCGCTGTAACCTTTTCCTGAAGAGGCTTTTGTATTCCTCCTGTGATCCGTGCAGGGCCCCGAGGGGACGGAGGGCCCCAGTGGCCCCTGTGACCTGCACCCACGGGCGGGCGGGGTGGCTGGGGGAAGCTCTGCCACAAAGGCCCGGCGCCTGCATCGCGCTGCCTGGGCACGGAGAGGGAGGGCGCTGCAGGGGACCCAGCCCTGTGCGTGGGAACCGGCTCCAGCTTCCCAGCCCTGACCTCTGACACCAGATTAACCCGCTTCCGGCTCTCAGCCTCCTTCTGCGGAGCCTCCGGGAACAAACTCCTGCTGGCATTCAGCTCCGGGCACCGCGTGTGGTCACGGGTGACTGCACAGCCCTGTCATGTTCCTGGAAATGGGGCTCAGCACCTGGGACGGCAGAGGCACCTTGAAGAAGGCAGCCCCCCCGCCACCCGTCCCCCCATAAAGGAAGCCCAGAGGTTTTTCCCACGAGCGTGGTCCCTGGCGCCTGGGGATCCACAGGGCGGCGGTCCTCACCATGGAGCTCGGCCAGGCACCTGCGGAGAGTCAAGACGCCGAGACAGGCTGGTCTGGCCCTGGTTTTGCACTTGTTAAGCGGGACCCCACGATTCTGGTGTGGGGGTCACTCCGAGGACCACTGGCCGCCACGTGAAGGCGCTGTGGCACCCGTAAGACAGGCTTCGCTCCCAACTTGGGGAAAGCTCTGCTGGTCCACCCGTTCCCCACTGCCACCAGCCCGGCCATGGACCCGTTTCCTCGTGCTGAGCTCAGCTGCCTCCCGAGGGAGCCCCCTACCCAGAGACGGCAACCTTCCCCAGGCTACCTGAGCCCCAGCACCCCAGCACACCAGCTCTGAGGTCGCAAACTCAGGCCCCACAGGTGGGCCGCATGAACGGGAGACGGGCACACACAGGATGCTGACACGGCCACGGAGCACGTGATGGGCCGAGTTCCTGCTCTCAGGGAAGACCAAAGGGAACCACACCAACTTGTGTCTGGATTCGGTCGGCCCTCCCAGGGCCACAGGACTGCTGACCGGAGGCAGGGCCAGCAGCAGGGGGCGCTGTCACAGAATCCTCACAGGCCGGCGGGGAGTAAGAGAGCTGGCCTCGGGCGCTGCCTCCAAGCCTGTGGTTTCTAGCTTCTGGGCCACACAGACCTGGAATCATGTCTTTGCAGACCACCAACATGCACCCCCAAATCGGGGCCTTGGGGGCGCCCAGGTGCTCACTGCTCTCCTGCCCCAAAGCAGCCTCCGCCCTGAGTAGAGAAACCCCACCCGCCACAGTCTTCCCTAGTGCCAGTCGCACCAACAGGCCAGGCTGGGCCGTGGTCCTCTCCCGCCCTTTCTGTGCTGGTTGTCCCCGGAATCAGATCTGGTTCAGCGACAGGGTTCCCGGCCCAACAGGACTGGGTTAGGGTCACTGGGCTAGGAGGCACTGGGGCCCTTCCCAGGAGTCGCAGCATCGAGGCCCTAACAGGCAGGGCCCCCAGATAAGGCACTTCCTTCCTGGGCCCGGCTGCCAGGGAGGCCGTGGCGGAACACCTGCTCCGCCAGGGCAGCCGGATCCTTCTCACCTGTGCTCAGGTGCACGGGAAATGGTCATTACACCCAGGACGGGACCCGGTCTCAGCAGCCAGGACCCCGCACTACGTCTGGCTTGTCCCTAAATATAGGGACAGAAGGAAAGAGCTGCCGTAACAGTTCTAGTCACCAACCCTCTGGGCTTGGCCTCGAGTTACCGTGCCGTAGGCTCTTATTGGCAAGAGCTGTACCCGACTTGAATCTTTGTTGTTGTAAAAAAAAAAAAAAAAAAAAAAAAAACAGCGGCGTCCAAGCCCATCAGCGGGTAAACAGGCTCACGGGAGCTAGTTCAGGACGACGGAGGGACCAGCTGGTGGGAAGCGCTCGTTGAAAAGTTAGGATTTGCTTACAAGCAGCTGGCGGACCAGCAGGAGCCCAGGCTCTGGGGTCAGCAGGTGCCTGTCTGGGCCAGCAGCCGGGTCCCTGAGACCCGCCGCAGGGGCTCTCTAACACTGTGCTTCTGCCTCCCCAGGAATCTGGTACAACATTCTCAGAGGCATCGGGAAACTTGCCGTCATCATCAACGTAAGTGACAGCGGTCGGGCACAGGGAGGCCCTGGCTGAGCTGGCTGGCAGCCCGTCGCCCTTCCCAGGAGCTGGGCACCCTCTGCTTTCAACCTGGGTGAGGCCGCGGGCTGGCAGCAGTGTCTCCTCTTTAGAAGTGTCCCTGGGTCGTGTTGAGACGTTGTGGGGAGCTTTAGGCAGGAATCACAGATCCTCCTGAACCTTTTCCTGCGACCTTGAGCAAAATTCTCCACCATGCCCACCTTGATCCCTAAGTCCACTCTCCCCAGAGTCCTGAGAATAAACAAGAGAGAGACAGAGACAGAGAGACATTGAGAAAGAGAGATTCCTCATAGGCAATTTTTCTGCTCTTTTTTTTTTTTAAAGTGCCTGGCTGGTGTGGCTCAGTTGCTTGAGCATCGTCCCATACACTGAAAAGTTGCAGGTTCAATTCCCAGTCAGAGCACATGCCTGGGTTGCAGGCTCCATCCCTGGTAGGGGGTGTGCAGGAGGCGGCAGATCGATGTTTCACTCTCACATCGATGTTTCTCTAAACTCTCTCTCCCTCTTCTTCTCTCTCTGAAAATCAATTTTTATAATCTTAAAAATATATATATAAAAAAAAAACCACGAGGCATGAGGATTGTACAGTGGGTGTAGTTAGTCCTGTGTAACCAGAAGAAAAATGGAGGCACAGAGAGGTTAGGTGACTAGCCCAAGGCCGCACAGCTAGTAAGAGGCTGCCAGCATTCATCCCATGCCTTCCCACCCAGGGGTGATGTGTTCCCAGCTCCTTGGGCTGCCGGAGGGGCTGACAGGAATGCCCCCAACCCTTCATGTGTCCACTGAGCCTTTGCTCACATCACTAACTCATGGGCAGAGTGTCCCACGAGCAGGCCCAGGGCCACGGGTCCTGTGCTCACCCTGCTGTTCCGCCCAGGCCTTCGTGATCTCCTTCACGTCGGACTTCATCCCCCGCCTGGTGTACCTGTACATGTACAGCAAGAACGGGACCATGCACGGCTTCGTCAACCACACCCTCTCCTCCTTCAACGTCAGCGACTTCCAGGACGGCACGGCCCCCAACGACCCCCTGGACCTGGGCTACGAGGTGCACATCTGCAGGTACCCTCCCCGCCCCTCCCAGGGAAGAGGTCGCTTTCTGGGAGAACCCGGTTCAAGCCAGGATTCTTTCAGGGGCAAGTCACGGGACAGCTCAGTCGTACTGCGAGAAATAAAAGATCCCTTCGTTCTTTAACTAGGAAGTCCAGAGTAGCTTCAGGCATGGCTGGATCCAGGTGCTACCGCTTGCCATCAGGGCCACTCGGGTGCTGCCTCCCACCTTTGTCTCGTCCGTGCGGACATGGTTTTCTGGCAGCAGGGAGGTCCCCCAGCAGCTCCTGCTTTGTACCCTTCGGCCCAGCAGTCCCAGGGGCGAGAATGTCTCCTGCCCAGTAGTCAGCAGTCCCAGGCCCGAGTCTCGTGGACTCTGCAGGCGCTGCTGATGGCGCTGCAGCAGCAGACACTCCCGGCTGGCGAGTGATCAGTGGGCAGCGACATGGTGCCCTGCGTGCTCTGTGTCAGGGAGGGGCCCATATTTCAACATACACATAGGTGGGCACAGGCACCCAGGAAAGGCAGAGGATGACCCGCTCCAACCCTCCGCCTGTCCTACCGCAGGCAGGTGCCCCAGGTGCCGGGCGGGCAGAGCCCAAGCCCCAACCTCCGGCTCGTCAGGAGCACCAGTACCTTTGTGTTGTCTCAATGTTCATACCAAGAACACACTCAGGCTTGACCTATTTGTCTAAACTGAATTTTAGAGGAAGGATGATTCTGAAGAAAGAAGGCAGGGAGGTATGAGGCCATTTCATTAGAAATCCCCTCGGGAGTGTCAGTGCTGATGTCATAGGGTCAGCCTTGGGTCTTAGGATCAGGAAGCAGGTCACAGGCATTGGTTAAGGAGGCAGCTCCCCAGCCCATGCATTAGTTCAGGTGTCCTGCTCACGTCGGGGGAGGCCAGGGAGACAGGGTGAAGGCCCCGTTATTTTAAGTATCTTGTTGCTTTTGCTCCCGTGGACATGGAAGACCGTGGGCCAGACCACTGCACTCCCCAGAATTCGCTTTCAGCCAGGTCCACCCCATCCTTTGGCCGTGATCATGGGCTGCAGGTGCTGTGAGCTCCACGCCTCCACTGGCCGCGCCCGTGACAACCCACTTCCCGGAGGAGCTGGCTGTGGGAGGAGCAGCACGGAGCCCAGCCTGGGGCGGTGGGTGTGAGAGGCGGCAGAGCAGAGCTAAGAGCTGTGATGCTGGTGGCTACCATTTGTTCCTGTGCTAAAACAGGCCTTGTCTCATGTAATGCTCACAGCCATCCCCAGAGAGGACATCAATATTGTTATTCTCCCCAGGGGAGCTAGCAGGTGGCTAAGCAGAGCCACGCAAGGGGGAAAAAAAAAAGATCATAGAGGTCAGTGCAGGTGGTGGCATCTGGACAGATCTGTAAGTGGGCTTTGAGGGATGCATAGGAGTTTACCAGGTGACCCAAACACGTTTCCCGGTCTCCCGGTGCAGCAGGCCTTGAGCACAGAAAGGAGGACACGTGTGTGGCTTCTGATGCTGGGAGAACACGGGCTGCCTGTTCCCATCGGAGTTCAGGTTGTGCAACTTCTGTGTCGCTCAGCAGCTGCACCAGACTGTGGGTTCCCAGCCCAATCCTATCTCCGGGGTTGGCAGCTTAGCCCTCCCATCCAGCTCACTCCAGAGATAACGCTCTGTGGGTGAGGAGCCCTGTCGGTTGTGTTCCCTGCTGCGTCTGCTCCCTGGACTGGGGCCTGGCACATGGTAGCTGTTCAGTAAAGGCACACGATGTGAATAAGTGAGGGGATGCCAGGCAGAGGCCCAGAGAGGCCAGGCGATGGTGCAGGGACACACAGCAAGGCAGTAACTGGGTTGGGGTCCAGGCCAGGGCTACTGTGCCCACAGAGCCGGTGCCACCCCTCCTCCTCTCCCCCACTGGACCTCAGCTTTTCAGTGACCAGCACGGGACACACCTGTGGCCCCCTAGCCTGGAAACTGCAGGCATTTTTTCTGAGGGCATTTCCAATGCAGAGGGGCGTCAGCCCATTAAACCCAAGCACCCCCGGATTTTAGGGAGCAGTTGGATGGGCCTAGGTGGAGACAGAACCCTGGGTCCTCACCCTGGGCATCTCTGGGCCTGCGTGAAAGAGGAAGGGCATGGAGAGACCGGAAGCTCAGGAGGTGCCCATCACTCCCACTTGGCAGAGTGGTGGGCAGAAGGAGGGACAGAGGCAGGCGCGGGGGAGGGGTGTGAGGCGCTGGTCTGTCCGAGCAGGAAGTCATTAGGCAATGTCTAAACATGGTAACTGGGAAGGAGGGGTGGACTGTATTAGTCAGAGATAAGGCGGTCACAGCCAAGAGGCTGCGGCTGGAAGAGAGAGGAGTGCCCCTGGGCACTGGGCCCCCTGGGGCAGTTGCCAGGCAGGCCCGGGCCACGCCACTTGTATGTTTAACCTCCTCCACAGGCCACGCTGAGAAAACATGTCGTTCTTTCCAGTAGTTTCCGCTGCAAAGACTGGGCAGGTGGCTTTCAGACTGGGTTTCAGCAGACCCAGCCTGAGTTTTGTGGACAGCAGGCGTGGGTCGAGGTTAGGGGAGCCAGGCTTAGGGACCCCCACCCACTTCAGCCAGGGAAGCCCCGCTCGCTTGGTTTGACCTCCCGGGGTTTCCGGGGGGACTTCTTTTGGAGATAGGGTTTCACCAGACGGTCCCAGAGCCCGCTTCTGGGGGCCCACAGCTGGGCCTCCAGGGACACTTAACTGGGGTCCTCACTTTCCGCAAAGCCCCTCGGGCCCTGCCAGCCCACGGTGGTCCCTGGCCATCCCTCCAACATGGAGAGACTTCCTGTCACCTGGGCGGCGGGGCTGCCCCTGGCGAGGCTCTGGCCTCGGGCCACGTGGTGCTGGGCAGAACCCCAGGGCCCTCTCGCAGCCCCCGATTCCTGCCGGCGTTTGCAGGTACAAAGACTACCGGGAGCCCCCGTGGTCGGAACACAAGTACGACATCTCCAAGGACTTCTGGGCCGTCCTGGCGGCACGGCTGGCCTTCGTCATCGTCTTCCAGGTACGCCGGGGCCCCGCGTCCAGGAGTTTGAGAGTCTGTGTCAGGCAGGGTCCGGGCGGCAGGGTTCCGAGCCGCAGAACTGCGGGCGTGCCCACGGAGGCATCAAAGTTCCCTCCTTTTGTGGGCTGTTTTCATGTTATTAATTGCTTTAAAGCCTTGACACTTGTCTTATTTGGTGATGCGTGACCCAGCAGATCATCTCTGAAGCCTCCCAGCCAAGGAATTCCGAATCCTCCAGAGGCCTTTCCTATTTACGGAGCCCAGATTCTCTCAAACAGGCCGGCTGCCCTGGCCGGTGGCTCAGTCGGTTAGAGCGTCACCCACTACCCCCAGGTTGTGGGTTCGATCCCCAGGTCAGGGCACATACAGGAACTCAGCCAATGAGTGATGAGCATGCAAGTGGAATAACAAGCTGGTGTTTCTTTTTCTCCCTCTCGCTCCCTCTCTCTCTCTAAAAATCAATAACGGTAAAATTTTCAAAGTAAGGCTGGCAAACATGTCGGGAGGGGCTGCTGGCAGGTCTCCTGCCTCAGTTATACCTTCCAGGAAACCGAGGTCCAGGAGCTCCAAGGGGGTGCCCAAGGCCACGGGCAGGGGCGTGACGGGGCGGCGCTGCCAGGTGGGGCGAGGTGGGGAGCATTTTCCGGGGGCCTCCTTCCCACCCCCACGCGCTGACTGTCCTTCCAGAACCTGGTCATGTTCATGAGCGACTTCGTGGACTGGGTGATCCCGGACATCCCCAAGGACATCAGCCAGCAGATCCACAAGGAGAAGGTGCTGATGGTCGAGCTGTTCATGCGGGAGGAGCAGGGCAAGCAGCAGCTGCTGGACACGTGGATGGAGCGGGGCCCGAAGAAGGGCGAGTCCTGCGGCAACCACAGCCCCCAGGCCGGCCCGGCCGG